CGGTGGCCGGGAGCAGCCACTGCACTCCAGTCTGGGTGACAGAGTGAGACTCCAACTAAAAAAAATTAAAAATAAAACTTTTATCTGATTTCCCACCACCTTCTCATTTTTCTTTTATGTATAAAGTTTTATGTGTTAAATTTCTGAAATTTCAGGCTTGTTTGTTCACAGCACAGCCTCATCTAAGCTGAATACGGTGATTTAATCTAAAAATAGAAAATTAGATGTGTTTTAGCTTGCAAGACATTATTTGTTCAACAGTTGAAGTAAAAGTGTGGACTACAAATTTGTTATCAAGTACTCTGCAGAAAAATTTCAAATCATAGGAATTTTCAGTTGAGAGGTTATAATGTCTGATATGATGTAAGATTTGCAGTACTATCTTTTCAGCTTAATTTGTTTATATAGTTGATGTGAATAAATGCTGTTTTCCACGATTCTTGTGAGACTCAGAGATTCATGGACCTTTTTAATTGTTTGAACCTCAGATATATCATAATCTCAAAATATGCATGTAGACTTGCTACTGTAACAATTAGCCAGGCTTCCAGAAACCCCAGTATATCCCACAAGACCCTGGGAGTAAGTCTTAAACTCCTGTGGACTAGCCCAAAGGATGTTTGGGTGAATAATACTGACAAAACTATCAAGATAAAATGTGTAATGAGTAACCAGCATTGGACACCTTTTGAGAGTTCCATTTACTTTGTAAATATATTCTGAAAAATTCCAATTAGAATTCCCTCATTGGCCGGGCTCAGTGGTTCAGCCTGTAATCCCGTGCCTTTGGGAGGCTGAGGTGAGTGGATTGCCTGAGCCCGCGGGTTTGAGACCCGCCTGGGCAGGCGAGACCCCATCTCTACAATAAATCAAAAAATCAGCTGGGCGTGGTAGCGAATGCCTATAATTCTGGCTACTTGGAAGGCTGAGGTGGAAGGATCGTCAGAACCCAGCGGGTCGAGGCTGCGGTGGCCGGGAGCGGCCACTGTACTCCAGTCTGGGCGACAGAGTGAGACTCCAACTCAAAAAAAAAAAAGAATTCCCTCATTTTTTATGAAAAACTCTAGTGAGTTTTTATTAAAACCCTAGTGAGTGCCTAGTGAGTGCATCTTTTTTTTTTTAATAGTATCTTAAATCTTTACCCTAAAATGCAAGCAAGGTGGCCTGCTACCCACGTCAACCTGCAAGGGGTGAATGACTCTCCCGCCATATTTCACTGCACTTAATAGCATTTGAAAAGAGGAATGTTAAAGATAGCCTTTCAGTCTTCTTTCCCATCATTGTTACAACAAGTGTCAAGGTCAACAGATTCAACTCAGCAGTGGAAGGTGGAAGACAGTCAAAGGTCAACTGAAACCTTCACGTTTCTCCTTATCCACCCTGGCAAAAAGAAACCTGAGACCAGTACCAGTAAGATAAAACTGTAAACATTCTTTTTTTTTTATTAAGAAAGCATGCAAAAAAAACAACTTGTGAGACCATACACCCCCTTCCCAGCCTGCACCAATGCAAAGCATTATGGGTGGTGACGGACTCACCAAACCAGAAACACGAGGAGTGAGGGCTGAGGAGAAGAAGGCTGGGGCGGGTGGATCAACACCAAATAATTGCTCCCCTTGTCCCTCTCCTCCGCTTTGTCCCTTATTTCCTTTTCTAGGCAGTGAGCTCCTGCGGTTTTGCACACATCACCCAATACAACAGCAATGACTACACTTCATGTCCAGCAATGCTGGACCAACAAGGAGAAGTAGTACATTTTCCATTTCATGAAAGGGAAGGGAAATTGAGGCCCGAAGGGAGTCAGGCTTCTTCTGTGCCCTGCAGCAATGCTGAGCTCGAGGCAGGGGAACTGGAATCTCAGGAGGTCTGTGGCCAGTGTCCAGTCCCAGCTCCAAACTTTAGTTACCCTGGCTGCCCACCAGGATTCTTCATGAGACTAGCTTTCAGAAGACACAGATGAACAAGGGGAATTTGCATGTAGGGTTCAGTCCACCCTTACAAATCCCATGTGGGTCCGAATAGGAAAAGGGTCTAGAAAAGAGGAGTGAACATTTGTAAAGGGAGAATCCTGGGGAGAACAAATGGGGAGTTGTGTGTAGGATGCACCTCGAAAGAAAGGAATAAGGAAAGATGCCTAAAGGAGGGACGCTGGGCAAAGGCGTCTTGCCACCCTTAAAGAGAAGCTCTCCTTTTCCCAACAGGATACGTTACAACATAGTTCAGCCCCACTAAGTGTCTTCCAACAGAATGGCGGCTTCAAGCCACTCGTACCCCTGTGTCCTTTTTACAAAGGCTTCAAAGAAATAAAGTGCTCTTTAGTTAACTGCCCTATCTTGCCCCTTGGCTTCAGCCTCACTGTACTTCTTCAACAAACTCTCATATCTAACCCCCTTCCCAAAAAAAGGAAAGGGGTAGAGAAAAAGTAGGAGAACGGAAAGCCAAATCTCTTGGAAATCATGGGTAAATAAAAGACTAGGAACAGAAAGTAAAAATCATAAAGAGTGCCCTTGTCCATTCCATATATCTTATCCCGCAGCTTTCAGAAAGTGAAATAAGAACGGAAGTAAAATCACTCTTCCCTCTCACAACGGAAATGCAACAATTAACATTAAATATACACTAAGTACTTTGCAGCAATAAATCATGGCTACTCCTTGTTAAGGAGATGAGTTATCTCTACAACTTTTCTGGGAGTCACCCTTGGCCCTCACTCAACTCTTGCCTCTTGATGATTTACTCACCTCTGACAATTTTCTCACTCTTCAAAAGTCTGCTTGCAAGCGCTGCAGCCCTGATGACCTAAGCTTCATGAGAAGCATCTGCCTGGATAAGTAAAGAACTGAACGGTGCCCCGCCCACCTCTGCACCGGCTCCCTTTTCCTCTCCTCACGCTCTTCCCACCAGTCCTGATACGATAGGTGGGAGAACGGTTCCCATCACATCTAAGGACATGAGGAAACTCAGCCTGATCATGGATTACTCTCTCTTCCTTGAAGATCCCAGAAAATGGGGGGAAGAAAACAAAATGGATGGAAGATCTGGGCAAACAAGTAAAGGAGGGCAAACTGACAATTGCTGAAAGGAGAAAGGGGATAGATGGGTCATTTGTAAATGCAAATAAGAGCCACAGTTAATTTGCAGAGAAAATCATTTTTAAAAAGCTAAAGTAGTGAAGTGGAAGTCATCTCCTAGAAACTAACACTATGCTGAAGGGCTGTCCTCATGCCCTACCTACAGAGGCGGAGCTTGGGCTCAAACCAAACCAATCTCCCTAGAGAAGGGTCTCAGAACAAATCAATGGAGGGTATGTCACATGCGGCGCACACCCAACTTCACACTGGTTCATCTTCGGTCGCTTCCAACTTAGGTCTCTCACTCCGCTAGGATTTGACTGTCACCCTACTGCACCGCCGCCGTGCCGACCCTTGACGGGAAATGAGGATTGGCAGAAGTAAGCACTGGTCATCCAAAGGACAAGGAAGAACTCAGAGGACAGAGAATTAGCACCATGGAGGAAGACCTGCACGTTCACGGCTGCCAAGCAGTGTGGCAGACCGCTGCTTCTGGATAAGGCGGCCTCTCTAGTCCTGGCCCGAAACTGACAGGAACAAAATAACTTAGGGCCAAAACAGTGGGATTAGCATTGTGTTTCTCGGGGAGAAAGGGAAATCAGAGTTGGAAACTTTTCTGTGTACATATCGTGGCCTTATCTTTCCAGCCCAAAGATTTTAAATTAGCAAGGGGCGGACAACGAGGTCCATGGTGTAGGGACAGGAGACTTGGGACAGTATATAACCAATAATAATAACAACAACAATAATAACATAAGAATAATAATAAAAGAATCAGGAAGAGATGGGAAGGAGAGAACAGAATGAGGCAGGAAAGAGGGAATTATCTTCGGCAGCATCTTGCGGTGGCTTCTCTGACAAAGAACAGAAAGAGGCTATATATCTATATACAGGCAGGGGGAAGGGACCGGCTGGGGCTGTGCTTCCCTGCCGCCAGACTTCGCCATTGGGCCCCGGGCTGCTGTCCACACTCTGTGATGCACTAAGTGATCAAGTCCCAGTCGAAGTCATCAGGGATCTCCTCGTTGGCACCAGGAGGCGGGACCGGTGGCCGAGGAACCATATGGTGTGCTGTCAGAAAGAAAATGGAGCATGAAAGGACAGTGGGTGGGGAGCGGTGCCAGCAGTCTAGGTGGACGGTGCTGGGAGGAAGCCTTTGGAGGCTTCTGTCCTTATCAGCAGAGTTACGCTTGCAGTGGGCCCCCATTTCACTGGGGTCTCAAAGATAAACTGGAGGAAATGAGGTTCCATGGCAATAAACTATTCTGCTGCCATTAAAAACTATACCTACGCTGGGCTCGGTGGCTCAGCCTGTAATCCCGCGCCTTTGGGAGGCTGAGGTGAGTAGATTGCCTGAGCCTGAGGGTTCGAGACCCGCCTGGGCAGCGAGACCTCATCTCTACAATAAATCAAAAATCAGCCGGGCGTGGTAGCGCGCGCCTGTAGTTCCAGCTACTCGGAAGGCTGAGGCGGAAGGATCGCCGGAGCCCAGCAGGTCGAGGCTGCGGTGGCCGGGAGCAGCCACTGCACTCCAGTTAGGGCGACAGAGTGAGACTCCAACTCAAAACAAACAAACAAACAAAAAAAACTATACTTATGAGAGGGGCTCGGTGGCTCAGCCTGTCATGCCACGCCTTTGGGAGGCTGAAGTGAGTGGACTGCCTGAGCCCGCGAGTTTGAGACCCGCCTGGGCAACTTGGCGAGACCTCATCTCTACAATAAAATCAAAAAATCAGCCGGGCGTGGTAGTGCGCGCCTGTAATTCCGGCTACTCGGAAGGCTGAGGCGGAAGGATCGCCGGAGCCCAGCGGGTCGAGGCTGCCGTGGCCGGAATCAGCCACTGCACTCCAGTCTGGGTGACAGAGTGAGACTCCAACTCAAAAATAAATAAATAAATAAATAAATAAATAAAGTTTATAAGTTCATCTCACAATTGCTAATTTATTACACTAAGCAGGACAAATTAAGGGATAAGGACTTTATTTTTAGCAAGTTATTTTTATTACAAATATTCTTGTTTTCGTAATATGATTTTTGTTTGAGGGATGTACTAATATTGAAAAATTAATTTGTTATATGGAAATAACTTTTATAGCTAGAGGAAACTAGAGTATCTAGCTTAAGCTTCTTTTTATACACCTGAAGAAACACAGTACCAGAGTTTAAAGTAATTTGCCAGCCAGGCACAGTGACTCATGCCTATAATCCCAGCATCCTGGAAGGCAGAGGCAAGAAGATTGCCTAGGCCCTTGGGTTTGAGACCAGCCTGAGCAACATGGCAAGACCTTGTCTCTACAATAAATTTAAAAAATTAGCCAGGCATGGTGGCGTGCATCTGTAGTTCCAGCTACTTGGAAGGCTGAGGTGAAAGGATCATCTGAGCCCAGCAGATTGAGGCTGCGGTGACCATGAGCATGCCACTGCACTCCATCCAGCCTGGGTCACAGAGTGAGACTCCAATTTCAAAAAATAAATAAATAAATAAAATAAAGTAATTTGCCAGATCACACAGGGACTTAAGTATATTTCGAGAGAGATTCTGTAGGTCTGA